TTGCATAAAACAGGACATCATATATATTACATTGACAGCAGAGTCGGGCCAGAAGATAAAGTATCATTACATAGGAAAATGGAGAGACATCTTCACATCTCGCTGTTTGATTTCTCAGAGACTCTTCCCACCTTGCTTAAAATCTTTATGAACTGTTGCCTTCTGGAAGAAGATACAGAACAATTAAAACTTGGACCACACATTTTTGAATAGTTCTTTTTCCCAGAGCTATAATTGCACTTAACAATGAACTTAAATACCATCAGTGAGCTGTTGGACAGTATTTCTTGGTCTGTTGTGTGGATGCTTGTGTGTTTTTAGGAGGTGGGAATTTTGGCAGGTGGGGAGGTGTTTGGGGATAGTCATGTGCGTGTGCATGTTGAGTCTGGTCTCTGGGTGTTATTTGAATTTCGTTGTATTATACTGTGTATATATGTACAATGACAATAAAGAATTCAAATATAAAGATAGGAAATATTTATTATATATATTTCCTGTTTCCATCCATAATACTGCTTAGTAGGTAGCTGTCGATCTAACTTTTGACTGATCAGAACCGTATATGTCTAATATGCTTGAAGTTCAATTTATCAGCAATCTTGAGAACCCTAAGTCTCAATTCATCTGACCCTTGAGTTTTTAAACTCGTTTAAAGTAAATAGTTATTTCATAAATGTCTTCCATACTGGTTAATATCAAGCTTCTTGTACCTTCCTCAACCCTCTGAAGAAGAAAGTTGTTAGTAAGACAAGTCAGGAATTTCCTATTTAACAGAGTTTATCTCTCACAGATGGTAAAGTAATTAAAGTTCCCCATCAGTGAAAACATCATGTTCTTTGAAAGATCTTCAGTTTACTTTTGGAAAATATTATTCACATTTATTCCATGGTTGAACAAACAATAGTTTGCATTCCTCCTTTACTAGTTTTTGTTATTGTGAACCACCCAGTGCTCTAAAATGGGCAGCCATAAAAAACTGAAACTAACTTGGATACTCTCTATGGCATCACTAAGCTTGTTCCTTTGGATTTTTGAGCTGGTGTGGAGAGTTTTGGTGAAGAGTACACCTTCTTTTCCCCTACTATTACTTCTGCTCCTTTTGAACAAAATGCGTTCTTCAATTAATATTCTTTATTCACAGGAGTTACGCCACCAAGTTTCTCACATCTTATTTGCCTTTCTCTACTAAGATTCCAAACTCAACTTGTATTTATTTATCTCATAATCTGAGCATTATAGGATGGACAACAAAGACCACAAACTTTATAAGGCCCACATTTTTTTACTTTTTTACTGAGTAGCTAATAGACCCCATTACTGCAATACCTTTCTTCTTTAGACAGTATAGAAAACCAGACCACTTAATATGATCAACATTCACTTGCTTGTATTATAATAGTTGTGTAAAAAACAGCCATTTTTCATTGAAGGCCAGTCTTTCTTCCAGGATTACTTTTGGAGACATAAATCTTAAAAAGATGTAAAATATTTATTATTATGGGTTTTCAAAAGTTGGTTTATGTATTCTTATAAATATTAATCATTCTTTTGGATATCTAAAAGATATCTAAATGGGATATTCAGGTTACCAAGGCACTGTACTTTAGTAATGATCTTAAATTGAATTATAGTGAGTTATATTATTCATGTTTATAATAATAAATACTGTATTATTTTGCATCCTACCAAGCTATAGGCATATGACAAATAAAATTACTATTTTATTTGCCTATCATTGGTTGGTAGAGATGAATCAGAGCATGTACCTATGGGGTCCAGCAATCCATTTTTAGGAGTAAATACTCCTAACATAAATAAAAAGATTCCCAACCAGATATAGGTAATTCTGCTAAATGCTTATTTGATGGAGCAGTATTAACAGCAAAATATCCAGTTGCCTTTTTTCTCCTGTCCTAACAGCACATGTTAATGTGCTCTTATCCATTCTAAGATATCCAACTTATCGGTCTAGCTGTGAACTTCATTATCTATATCACTTGTGAAAACCAAACTTTTCCTGACTGGAAAGTAATAGTGACATTAAGCAACTGAACCAACAGTACATTTCATCAGACCATCTCATAGGAGAAATAGGGTCTCAACTGAATTGTCTGATATCTTGCTTTGAACCCAGCCTTACCCAGATTATTCTATCATCCTTTAGTTTCCATCAGTTTCTGGAAGCCGACGATAATGGGCTTCCGACCCTTTAGATAAGATGTGCCATGACAATACTATGTTTGGCTGCTCATATCTCAAATGATTTTTCCTCTCTCTCATTAGGATATATGTTGAAGTTGTTCTACCCTCTTTCATATGCTGAGTTCATTGAGGAGAGATATGTGAGCGGCCTATATCTATAGTACTATAGTACTCTATATCTAGAGTACTATAGTACTCAAGTAGTACTTGAGTGACAAACGTCATGGAGCCTACCCATCATGGTCATAGCTCATGATGGTCATAAATGCATCCTAGTTAGATTGCCCAAAATGTGGTCATGAGACAACCAGCAGAACTTTGAATTTGGGTTGATGAGCAGTTTCCAAGTCAAAGAATGTTATTCTTGGCACTATTTCATTTTCAACAACTTTGTGAGTGCTGCAGGTAAGGTGATTTCTATCCAGAACACGGGTGCTGAAGAACTGGCTAAAGGCAGTCCTCATTGTAAGAGATGGAATGGATCTCTTGCCAGATGCCAGAGTTGGCCTTCTGCTGGGAATACATCTCCTAGTTGTTTTCCTCTGAATCCACACCTGTGAGAAATGTTACATTCTAGCCACTAAGAAGATTTTCAGTTATACAATACAAATCACATTTTTATTTATATGAGATAGTTCTTGAAAATGCAATGAATGAAAGTGGGAAGGGGTGCTTAAAGCCACAGCTACATCAAGTCTATGAATATTTCCAATAACTGCATTCCAGAAGTATTTTTGGAACCACAAATGTTATGCTGTTGTTGTTTTAATGAAGGCCACATTCAGAGGATATGTCACCATATGTCACATTCGTTTTTGTCCCAGAAAAGAAAAGGAAAGTATGCTAAATTTTAAGTGTTTTGGAAAAGTGTATTCGCACAGCTGACATTATTGTTCATATGGCTAAGGAATTCTTGATCTTTAACACATCCTGAATGAGATGGACTACACTCCGTGGAGCAGATATTTCACAATGAAAAGCTAGAGTGTGGGAGAGCATTCATTGTTTTACCAACCTTTTTGGTAACTCTAAATTTGTAATCACTGCTTGTAAAAGTTATGTGTGCAAGGAGCATAATACAGAGGGTGGCTGGGGTGGGGTGAGGAGGAAAAAAATATGAATGTATCACTGAAGTAGGAAACTTTATGTCTAACAACTGTTTTGAGTTCAAGTTTACATCTTTCTCACCACAGGAATTCTTAGGACAGATAGATAACTTTCTTTTGCTACTAAAAAATAAAATAAAGTAAAGGTAAAGTAGTACAGCAAATAGATGATACTAGAAAGGTACAGGGCTGAAGTAAAAGAACTGATTATACTACTTCAGACTACAAGTTATATAATCAGGTAGCAAGCAACAAAATTCTTCACAAAAATAAACTTAATGTCTATGGGAAAAAAACATGGAAATGATGCACAAACCTCTCAACATTTTCTATCGTATTTGTGAATAGATAAATTGGAGAAACGATATTAATTTAATTTGTTTTTGCTATGTATTATAGCAATCAGATTGCACTTAGTATATTGGGTGAAACACAATGGCTCACCCTCATTTTTCTAAGTATCAAGGATACCTTTTATTGTAATCTATATGTTAAGACTTAAAATAAACCCAAGAGTTCCTTATGTCAGTCTTCTATTACCAAAGCCAGAGATCAAGTGAAACCATAAATTAATTTTGGGTGAACAGCCACAAAAGAACAGCAGTCATACTATTGTCTAAAATATGCATACGTGCGTTGGTTTTAAAATTTAAACAATAGGTATTTTTGCTTTGTAGATATTTGGGGGAAATCCAATACTTTTATGAGAGATTTAGACAGAGTTTTTCATTGGAGGTGCGAAAAACATGAAATGCTGACTGAGGTAAAATACATTTCAGTAGGTGGCAGCACCTGTATGAACTTTTCTAGGTTTAGAAGGGAAGCTAGGTTGGACCTGTTTTGTACCTATTTATTTGACAATATTTGCAGACCTCCCAACCAATTAAGAATCTGGGAGATGAACAACAAAGCATAAATAAAACTCCATCGGAATAGTAAAAACCATGACATTCATACATATAAACAGTGGGTACCTACAAATAGTTTGGTCTAAAGGTACATTGAAAGCATTGTTTTTTCATTACTTTGCAAAAGGCAAGGAGATAGGGAAAGCCACTTCCATCACCTAGAGACTTCAATGGAAAATGTTTGCTGTTTAGACCACTCTCCACATACTTCTCAATGGGAGGGATGTTTAACACCTGAAATCTCTAGATTTTACTCTGTCGTATGGTTGACAGTAGGGCTGTCAACTAGACTGGGGAGTTGGAAATACATCCCAGAGGAGTCCATACAGTTGCCAGGGGAATGACCTGATTGTATCCACAGAATTGTTGTCAATTCTGTGAAGGTTGAAGGATACTTTGAACATGACCATTGACTCAGAATCTCAGTCAGTTAACATGACTCGGCATCTCAGTCAGTTAACATATCAGGTTAAAGATAAGATAAAATAAGATCAAGAGGGGCAGAAGATGAATAAATCACTATCACCGGAAAAAGGTGTTCCATTGAAAACTGTATATTGAGTTAAGGGTGCAACATAAAAACAAATCTATTTTTTGTTTCAACCTCCCATTTAAGTTAATAAGGATTCCACATATTGCTTCAAAAATGTAACTGGGGCCCAATTGAAAATCTCAAGCTTTTGCTCTTTTTCTTCCCCCTCAGGTTATAAATGAAAAGAGAGGGACAGATCAACAGATGAATGAACGTGTCTCCTAAACCAATTTCGCAATACCGACTCAAAGCATGATGGAGCACACCGATAAACTTATCAGCATGGAAGCAAATAAACTCAAACATTCACAGAGTTACCAGGAAACTACATCAGTGGGGATTAAAAGAATGCAAAAGCGATTCCTTCAGAAAGATGGAAGTTGCAATGTTTACTTCAAACATATCTTCGGGGAGTGGGAGAGCTATGTGGCTGATATTTTCACCACACTGGTAGATATCAAGTGGCGCCATATGTTTGTGATCTTTTCCTTATCTTATATCCTATCCTGGTTATTGTTTGGCTTAGTGTTTTGGCTCATTGCACTCCAGCATGGAGACTTGTTGCCAGAAGAAGAAGTCACCCCCTGTGTGGAGAATGTCAATAGTTTCACAGGGGCCTTCTTATTCTCTCTGGAAACCCAAACCACCATAGGCTATGGATCTCGCTGTGTGACCGATGAGTGTTCTGCAGCAATCCTGACAGTTGTCCTACAATCTGTGTTAGGCTGTATCATTGACACATTCATTATTGGAGCTGCCTTAGCAAAAATGGCCACTGCCCGAAAGCGAGCTCAGACCATCCGCTTTAGCTACTATGCAACAGTAGGCTTACGAGATGGTAAACTCTGTCTGATGTGGCGAATAGGTGATTTCCGACCTAATCATATGGTAGAAGGAACCGTAAGAGCTCAGCTCTTGAGGTATGTGGAAGACAGGGTGGGCAGGATGATATTGGAGTACAAAGACTTAAAACTGCTAAATGATCAGATCATTCTTGCCACTCCAGTGACCATTGTCCATGAAATTAACCAGGATAGTCCACTGTACGATTTTGACAGGAAAACTCTGGCTAAGGACAATTTTGAGATTCTGGTTACATTTGTTTACATTGGAGATTCAACAGGAACATCACATCAGTCAAGGAGTTCCTATGTGCCTAGAGAAATCCTTTGGGGACACAGATTCAATGATGTTCTGCAACTGAAGAAAAAATACTACAAAGTCAACTGCCTGCAATTTGAAGAAACCACTGAGGTTTACGCCCCTTATTGTAGCGCCAAGCATTTGGATAAAAAGGAACTAGAATACACAGGTTGTGATAAGACAACAAATGGAGAACCAGAAATTTCCTCTTCTTCCTCCTCTTCCTCTTCCTCATGCTCCTCGGGAATCAGAATCAGATCGTTTAGTGCTGATGCTTTAATTATTCATTCTGAGGTTTCTGGAGAGTCAGTCAAAATTTCCAGTCCAATAAATACAGTGGAGCTGCCATATGACAGAGCTCTAGCAACATTAAGCAGAATTTCAATGGAATCCCAGATTTAGCAATCAATGACTTTTGCAGAGCTGTACAACTAACTATAACAGCTATCAAATGCACAATGTTCACTTAAATACTAGTGCTCTCATCCTCAAATGAAGGAAGAGATTTACTGACAAACTGTTAAGATTGCACTCTGACATTCCTTTTAATATATAACTAGCTGTTAACAGTTGTCTTTCACAAATTATTAAATTCTGCATAGTGACACTGAAAATTATTTATTGAAAATTCAAATCTGTTATCACTGAATTCGTAAAGAGATAATTATTTGAAATATTAATCACAACCTAAAATTTAGACATATTTTGGGATTGATCCAGGTTATATAATTGTTGGAGATTGACAAGATAGTTTCAAAATTGGTTATTTGCATCTTGCAGCACAATTAATCCTAATCTTTGTTTCTTTGTAAATTGATAGGCTTTTCTTCAATGTATGCATTTTCTTTTCTTTAAAATTATAAATAAAAAAATAACTTTTTTGGAAATGAACATACTAAGGTCATGTATAAACTATGAGGAGAAAATACTGATTCCACAGAAAAATTAAAAGAAGTAACTAATTTTGCCAAAAGCACCTTATTTATTGCACTTTATATGAATAACTTAACTATTACTGATCTGATGTGGTGATATAAGGTCAAATATATTCAAGTTTACATTTGTAGTATTTTCAAACAGCAGTTTTTAAATCATTTAACATTTCTATGCAGAAAATGTTGTTTCTGCCTGTCTAAGGAAAACATTATTTTATACTGTACAGTAACGCTAAGCCTGATTTTTAAAATTAATATATAAACATTTTCTCCTCAATAGTTGAGACCATCTATTATTTTACTTTTGATTTTTAAGTACTTAATTAAATCAGGGCATTTTGATTTCTTTTTCTATTTTGCAACCTCAACAAGTGATCTGTAAACTAGACAAACCAGTTCTTTTAAGCATAGGTTGATGGCTCTTAATTCCCATTACAAGCATCCTTAAACTTGCTCTTGAAAACCTGGCTTCTGACAAGCCCTCATCGGTTAACTAGTTTTCTGAGGAACTAAAACATACTTATGTAGCTACAACTGTGTATTTTCCAATCAGTATCTCACCAATTTTGGGGGGCAAACATCATATGTGGTGTTGGAGGCACATGAGAAGAATTGTTTATGAATATCCTTCCCTTAAAAGTGTTAACTGAAAACTGAAAATGTGGAACACTGATACCAGTGGTGGGATTCAAATCTTTTTACTACCGGTTCTGTGGGCGTGGCTTGGTGGATGTGGCAGGGGAAGGATATTGTAAAATCTCCAGTCAGAGGTGGTATTTGCCAGTTTTCCGAACTACTCACAATTTCTGCTACCGTTTCTCCAGAACTGGTCAGAACCTGCTGAATACCACCTCTGACTGATACCCTTTGCAGGAGTTATGGGTTTTATTTTCTTTTAATTGAAAATAATAGCTATTATGAAATGAGAAAAAAAATAAGCACAAATTTATTCTTCGAAGATCAGTTTCTCTGAACATATTGATGGAATAGAGCTTTTGAATAAAATAGACATATTAATGGGTTTGTTGTATCTATTTTATTACTTCTTAGTTACAAAGAAAAAACCCTGAAACATTATTAATCTATTATAGGACAGCATGATCTCAGGGGACTGTATAAAAATGGGACTTGTGGGATATACAGTAAATGGTTCACGGTTTGCCTTTATCTGATATAAACAGAAGGAGTGTACAGTGTGTACACAATGCCTAAAATTACTTGGGAAGAGCATTATCTATAGTTAATAGAAAAATATAAATTAAATGGTGTCTTTAGTATCCTTACATAAAGAACTTCATACTTCTTTAATGCAGGAAAATACACAAACCAACATCACATTTCAAGGCAGAGTTGGGGAAGATAAAGGTGAAAGAGTCATTTAGGTGAGATGAATGATGTAGAAATGGAATGAATGAATGAATGAATGGCTGCTATGCCATTAGCTGTGCAAATGATTTCCAAAATTCGGCAAGATATCAACATTCTTAGAATACTTTAGATTGAAAGTATAACTTTTTATAATTATATCATTCTTTAAGGGGTGGGTGGGAGTGGCATAAGACCATTTGTTTTTACTACCGTAGGTTGACATTGCCAGTCCTGTGGAAACCATTAAGTGTTCAGTAATCCAAATGGAAAACTAACCAGTTTGGTAAATGCCAGACCACATAAAGAATTGGTAAATGTGAAAGTGCTCCTGGAAGAATGCTCTCTGAAATGAATTTGAATCCATATGGATGTTTCAAAACCCTACAATGTCTCTCCTAAATCATAGCTCAGGTTCCACTTCTAGAGATGAAATATCATATAGTATCAGATGAACCGCTCCTTAGCAAAGTTCTGGAAAGGACATGAAAGCCGGGAAAAACAGACTCCAAATGCCAGCAGGATCTCAGATTGTCCTCAATCTTATAATGCTGATGTAAAATTAAATCTGTGCTCGATATTATGGGAGGCAGCTTGGCTTTCAGCTTCAAGTGGTTTACTATAACTAGAAGTGTCAGGTATTTGAGCAGGGATCCTTGCATAAGGGAAACAGACAGTTCTGTTTCCATTTTTGCC